ATTTGAGTGACTGCGAGAAGACATTCTATAATACACGTAGTAGACGGCGAATTTTAGGGGACGTGTTGTTCAGGAGGAACGCTGGTACTGCTTATAGCGATGACTCGCCAATAACTAGCGCATATTCGTCTATCCAATCCTCTCTCCAACAGGCTCCACTTCTCACGAACTTACCACCAGTAACAATTTCTCTTCACTAACACGTCGCGAATGTCGAAGCCAAAGCAACTTTGACACCACCAGCTGAGCTGAGTCTAATATTCACACTCTTGTTGATCACTTTCACAAGAGTTTTTGATACTCTCTCAAACATCTTGTGTGTTGTCGTTTGCTACCGCTCTCGATCCAAAATTCGCTCGGTGGCGGTGGATCGAGTAAAGACACCAACCACCCCAGAGAGCCATGGCAGGCAAAAGACGAAGAAGCTCGGAGACCACTCCCTCCGCAGCCAACGATTTCAGCTTGAAAAATTCAATTCGAAGAGCTGATCGCGGACTCGCGGGTCGACTACCGGAGCCCGGTCCTCATGCAGACGTCTACTTCCGTAACCTCTACTCGACGGAACCTGACTTTGGGAAGCTAGGCCGCCAAGACCCAAAATTTGGCACTCTGTGCGTGACAACATCACGAGACTCTTCTTTACCTCGACTGACCGACTTTTACTCAGGCTCAAACGTGGAAATCTTGATTTCAATGATCCATGTGCCGTGATGCAGCTCACAAAGACGCTACTGAAAGCTGACTTTGGGCTGAATATTGAGCTACCCGACGATCGTTTGTGTCCACCAGTGGGTCCACTCCTCTAAACGTCTGGGACATCTCTTGATCACACTGCTGACAGCAAAAGGTACCAAACCGCCACAATTACCTTCTTTGGCTCAAGACCCTACTAGATAGCACTACCTACGGTGATTCGGATCAGAAAATCCTCGGGCTCGATATCGGCACCGGAGCAAGCTGTATCTACCCGCTTCTGGGATGTACCCAGCGGAAATGGTCCTTCTTCGCGACGGGTATATTACTGTTTCTCGGATGTTTTTGTTGAGATACTGATTAGCAGCAGACATTGACTCAAAGAGTCTGGAATTCGCCGAAAAGAACGTAGAGTTGAATAACCTTCAAAGTCGCATCTCCATCATTGCTCGTGCACCTCAAGATCCCATGATCCCTTTGGCCGCTTTGGGCACAGAGTCGCTCACCTTCGTCATGACGAATCCCCCATTCTACACATCCGAAGACGACCTCCTCAACTCGGCGAAGCAAAAGTCGCGCCCTCCTCTGACGGCATGCACCGGCGCCCCAGTGGAGATGGTGACAGACGGCGGCGAAGTCAAGTTCGTGTCCAAGATCCTTGAGGAATCACTCATCCTGCGCGAGAGGGTCCAATGGTACACGTCCATGTTTGGGAAACAATCGAGCCTCGAGGAGTTTATCGCAATTTTGAAAGAGAAGAGCATCGACAACTACGCAGTGACGGAATTTGTTCAAGGTAACAAAACGAGACGGTGGGCCGTCGCGTGGAGCTTCGGTACGATGAGGCCGTCAGAGGAGGCCGCGAGGGGGATGAAGGCTACAATTTGGAAGAAGCTGCTCCCTCCGAGTGTGGAATCTGAGGTCACTGCCTTCCCGCTTGGCACAGAGATAGGGAAGCTGCAAGATAAGATCCAAGAGCTCATGTCTTCATTGGAACTGGTCTCCTGGGAATGGGACCGTCAGAAGCTTCTCGGTATCGGCAGGGCGCGAGAGAACGTGTGGAGTCGCGCCTGGAGACGGAAGAAGATGCGGGAGGAACGAGAGGGCAAGGCTGCCATCGAGGGGTTGTCGAACTCTGAGGTATGCAAGCTTGGTTTCGAGATTGCGCTGGATGTTGGACGAGAGAGAACTATCCTGAGGTGCCGGTGGAGGGAGGGGCATGATCAGGCACTCTTTGACAGCTTCGGTGGTTTTCTCAAGACTCGCGTGGCCTTGTGATTGATCAGTCTCATCACTACACGAACCAAAATTTGCGAGCGACAAGTTGTTTTCTCTTCTAAAACAACATCTATATATATTAGGTAAGGTATTGAGTCAGTGTCTGCGCAACCAGAATTCCGTTGAAGTTTTCGGGCTGCTAAAGACTGTGGCAAAAGCCTTGCCCTCAATTGTGATCGATGCCTAGCTACACCATCGCCGTGAATAGCTCCTTCTTTGCCAAGTGGCTATGCCGCGCAGATGCCTTCAGCTCCGACTCACCTAGAAATGGGAATTTAAACGGGAACAAAACTCTTTCCTCATAAGGGCAGATAGAATGGCTCGTGAGTGTGAATCACAATCTTAATTGATTGCCATTTCCAGTATAAGTAACTTAGCTAGCGGCGAACATCGGTGAACCGCGGGCGGTTTTGCATCTATCACATTCACTTCAACACTATGAGCGTTAGGAAGACATATAAATACACCCTATCTATCAAGGAGGAAACATGGAGGTACGTCTCTTCCTTATCACACTTTAACAAGTATCTCTTAAGAAGCTCTCATCTACCCAATACTTTAGCCTTACTGCAGCAACCTCATCGAGCTTCTTAAACCGCCAAAGGCCAGCCATATTTACATCCCAACAATATCCAGAATGTGCATACCAATAAGGTCAAAGACCTGCCGCCACGGGATTTCCAGGAATAGCTGCCCCGACTGTGCTCCTGCCTTGAGGCTTTGAAAATGGAACACGTCAGAAATTTGGGGACTTAAGGTCGAAACCTTCATATACACACCACGACAGGTTCTACCTTAATAGTCTGTGAATACTACCGCATCTCGAGTGGCGCGGTCAAATGTAGCGAACCGGTTTCATAGGTCCATCCGGTACTTTAGTAATGAGATAACCTAAGTCTTTTTCACCTGTGCTTTTCCATGTAGTTTTCTATGAGCCCTTTGTCTCATAGTTATGCCCTCAATGTGACCCTCAAGTTTATCTGCATTTCATGTGCTATCTAGGGCAAATTTGACCTTTCAATCCGCCATACCATAGTCTTTGGTGACTTCTAGAGCCTTGAAGGGCTAGCCGCAAAGATCCGATTGCTGTACCTTATGCCCAGAAGGTCGCGAGTACATGTAGTGCTGGCTAAAGATCATGGCTCTCTGGAAATCTCAAATGCACTAGTAGGACATGAACACGGTCGTGGCTCCCGCATCAATCTCCGCCCACGCGGTGGCCAGAAAGTCTTCCGGTTGAGTGAACTCGTACTCAGGCAAGAGCCGGTTCCACTCGTCAGAGCACTTCAGGTTACCAGCCACAATACCCCGCAGCATGCCAGAAAGCAGGCTAGGAGCGACGGCATCTAAGGTCTCGGGGGGTATCGATGGGTGCTCAACCTTGGGGAACCAAGGGGCCTTGACTACCCCTGCTTTGAGGTCGTCGGACTTGAGCTTGTTCACGTCGAAAGGCTCGCCTTTGTTGGCATATCAGTGACTTGTCCACAGAAGAAACAAAATGTCTGAGAGAAAGATGGATCGTGGGTAACGGTTCAGTCACCTACCACGTATCTTCTCGCCTAGCGCAATGAGCTGCGCGACTGATACCTGCGCGCCTTGGACGCCGCCGATGACAGGCCATTCGCCTTCATACTCCACAGCTAAAGCGACAACTCTAGCGAGATCCTGTGCGGTCGTAAAGGTAATAATGGCGTTTTCACCTCCATCAACGACAAGAGCGCGACGTTGATAGAAGTTAAAGGGTGTCTCGAAGAGCTGGACATGCTTGGAGGAGCTGAACGGATATGTCATATAGTTGGTGAACAATCCCGGTTGGAACAGACAGTATTCGAGGACCTAGCGTATCCAACTTCGATGAGTCACGTGTACCGGGTAAGGGTTGGGGTAGTTAACTTGAGAACGCGAATACCTTCTTGTCTTTGTTGATGGTTGCGAGGTACTTTCGAGTCTCTTCCTTGAAGCCGTACCAGAACATGTACTCCAGTTTGGAACTAGATCAATCAGACACGAAGTAGATGCATGAGACATGATGTAGAAGACTCACGAACCCCACTCGCTTGGAGCAAATCGTCTAACGCCAGCTTTGATGGATGCATCGATCAAATTCTTTTGCGTATCTCTCTGTGCGACGTTTGTTGGATCGACGGGTCCGGCGACAAAAGAGAGAACAGTGTGAACTCCTTCAAGCACTTGAGACAAGTGGGCAACATCGTTGTAGTTTGTCTTGATCCATTTAACTCCTGGGCCAAAATCGGTGACAGGGACATCCTGCAAAAGTCAGCTAATTGTTGATAAAATATGGCGTGGGGGACAGGATTGAAGCAACTTTTCTAGATAAAATCAAGATTTCGTGCTTGCCTCTAGCTACCAGAGCATCTAGGATCTCTCGTCCAACATCTAACCAAGGTCTTCATTAGTCGGCGCCTAGAAAAACTGAAAAGTTGTCGGAACCTACTGCCAGAGCCGCCAGCAATCGCGATTCGGACCATTTTCAAGCGTTGGTCTACTCGTGGGGGTTGGTTTTCTCAACTTTTGACTCTAGATTGTTGTCCTTCTTTGGATGGTCGATCCTACGCTTATTGGGTCTTTGCAAGATTGAAGGTAGATTGGAGGCAGCATCACAGGGCGAACGGCACGGAATATATATATGTACATAACTCATTACATATCGTTGCAGACGATTCATATCTCCATCCCAAATGTCTTTCTAGGCTCCGCCGCTCATGCGGTCTTCCCGTCCGGCCTCAACACTTGTGAGGACTAGGATGTGTAAGACCGCTAGGTACCAAATCGTAGCTCCAGCCTTCGGTAGTCTATTAGCCCCACCCTCCGCCCGATTCACCGGTGCGGCGGCGGAGCATGGCGGGGGATTACTAATGGACAACGTTCTCTCCTTTGTCAGCTGATCGCCGCTACACTCCGCCGCCAAACCGGCGGTCGAACAAAGATACGCCTGTTGGACTTTCTTACGAGTCACACTTGACAACAATGACCTCAGGCTATATGCTGGGTGTGTCGAATCAAGCATCATGATGGCCGCAACTGAAAGAATCCCGACCGAGGAGCCTCCAGTTGCCGACTCCGCTCCGGCGCCGAAACGGCGAAAGCTGCGCAAGGGGACGCAGAGCTGTTGGGAATGCAAGCGACGCAAAGCCCGCTGTACATTCTCGCCCTCCACGCAGGATATCTGTGATGGCTGTAAGCGTCGCGGAAGTGATTGTGTCAGTCAAGATGTCGCTGATCTGCCTCCACCTCCTGGCAGCAACAAGCACATCGTAGACAGACTTGGCCAAGTTGAGGCGCTGGTGAGGCAGTTGATAAAATCAGGGACCGAGAGCGAGCACCGCATTCAAGATCGACCGGTCTCTCCAGCTGGATCTCATAGCCGGATCTGGGATGAAAGGATCACGCCTAGGCGATCCGCTTCCCCCACCGTTCTCTCAACCGCAACCTCTCAACCACATTGCTCAGAATCTCGAAATCAAGATGCTCGAGCTGAAAAAACGGTGGTACGTGGTTGTATTTGCACATTGCATGACACTAAAGCTGACCGTTTAGGAAACACATACTCAAAGGAGCGTCTCGCCTGCGCGCTCCGTAGCGGAGCGACTAGCCCATCCAACTCTCGCTGCATCGTCCACACAAGCAGACGAAATCATCTCCACGCAGCTTCTCGCTGCATGGCCAAGTCCGGAAGACATGGCCATCATCTTGGCGATTCCGGTGGAAACTTCGCAAATTATTCGAGCTGTCATATGCACTAGAATAAGCCCCAACCCATCCACCCTTCCGCTCTCCGCGGCTTTACTACAACTACCGCCCACTGGGTCACATCCGGTGCTCATCGCGAGGAGTCTATTGATCTTAGCCTCGTTCCTCCAGGGTATGCCATATTCCGCGTCCCATCACCTAGAGAAGCTCAGCACCAGCTGGTACAACATGATGTCACGAGCGGTAAAGACGGCCCACGACTTGGTCACATGCAAGGATGATCTAGTCAATTCTCTGGAAGGCATTGAATGCATCATGCTGGAGGGCCTCTATGAGAACTACGCTGGCAATCTGCGTTTTTCATGGCTCGCCGCACGCCGGGGAGTCGCAATTGCGCAGATGCTCGGCCTCAGTCGGGGCATCAAGCCGCGCTCCCTCGTCGGCTCGATCATTGAACCGAATGATCTCTGGTTCCGTCTCGTACAGTTCGATCGCTACCTTTCCCTCATGTTGGGCTTGCCGCAGAGCGCACTCGAGGACGTCTACGCTCGCCCAGATACATTGGAAGGATGTCTTCCATTAGATCGGTTTCTTCGCCTCTGCACTGTCGCTTGCGGACGCTTACTGCAACGGGATCCTTCGGAGGTATTTGACTACGAAAAGGCCCAAAATATTGACAAGTTACTGCAAGAAGCCTCAACCGTAATGCCAGCACAGTGGTGGGTCGCTCCGACCCTCGCCTCGGAGAAGGGCCATCTGGAGAAGATTCGGGAAACGTTACGGTTCAACGACCACTTTATGTACTATCATCTCCTTCTCCAGCTCCATTTCCCCAACATCTTACACCCAATATCAGAGCACGACAGAGCGACAGCCGTGACGGCAAGCCGGGAGATCCTTTCTAGATTCTTGTCCTTTCGCGCGACTAGACCGGCGCGATTCTATTGCCGAGGTGTTGACCTCATAGCATTTCTATCGTGTACCTCATTGTGTCTAGCGCACATTTGCAACGCCCCTCAAGATACGACGGACGGAAGGAGTTCCTACTTCTCTGCACATCAACGCCTCAGCGATCGGGGCATGGTGGAGCAGGCTCTGGTCGTCATGCAGAAACTTGTGGATCAGTATAACGATGAGATCGCTACGAGAGTCGCTACACTTCTCAAACACCTCTTGCGCATCCAAAACGACATAACATTGGGAGTGAGATACAAGGTCGCATTTTCGCCAGAAACATTCCTGGATGACGATCTTGGGTACCGAGTGAAGCTGACGGATCAAGACACTGTCCTCAACATCTGTCTACCGCACTTTTGGGTCATCAGGATTGAACGGTTGTCTGATGGGATGTTGATACCGACCGGATCGAATTCGCAACCTCTGTACCATCGTCTTCCTCAAGATGAGCGCCCATGCTCAATCGGAAGTCAAGACGCCGTCGTTCCGCTTCCTGGAGATAAGGAACTGCAGGATCTGGTACAGTACCCATGTGAGGAAAGTTGGGCACTGAATAATTTGGATTTCACGTTATTGGACAACTGCATGTGGGGTAGCTTGGGTACGGGCACCGAGACTGCTTAGCAGGCGTAGTTTGTGAGATCGCTATTAAGAACAGGAGGAAAAGCAGCTTTTTGGGTTGATCAAAGTTCAGAAAGCAAATGAATCGGGAAGAGATACTCATACACCTGAGTTGGTCAAGAAACCATCAGAACAGCGAAAAAGAACAAGATGTCTGGCAAGGAAAGAACATCGGAAAAGAAGGTCAGACCAGGCCAAGATGTCTGAGAGCAGTCCAAACTCTGTGCACATTATTTCCCATCCCATTCGCCGCCAACTGCGGTCCCATCATTCCCCTAATGTGTGTCTGGCCAATGACATCCATCGACTCCCACAACTGCCTTAACAACTCCATTTCAAATATCGATTCGCGAAAGATGCGAGCATATCCCACAAACAGAATCTGCATCGCCGTGGGAGGCAGAAATGCCTCCACGCTCGGCAAAAAGTCGAGGAGGAACTCTGCAATCGGTCTTGCCAGCAAATCGGAGCAGCCAAAGGCCCGGTCCTGGTCCAGCACGCAACAGAGAATGAAGATGTGCCAGAATATCTCCCGTACCGTCACGAATCGATCGCGGGCATTTGCGAGGAGGTAGCGCGGCCGGGCGAACAAGTCAAAGGCGGCGCCGCCGCGACTACCAGTGCCCACGCCCATACCCGCACCCATGGCCCCGTACGGCGGCGCGTATGCCTGGCTTAGCGCCTCGAGGTGTCTGAAGATGAACGTCGCGCCGCGGGCGAAGGCCTGGTCAAAATTTTGGGGATCCATCAGGGTTCCCATGAAGCCGTCTTCGTAGCCTCGGAGGAACTCAGGGACGGGGAAGAGGCCCTGCTGCATGAAATTTCGGGTTCGGGGGAGGTGTTCGTGGAGTAGATCGCGCTCGAGCAGAACCCGCGTGCCATCAGGGAGGAGGACTGTGACTCGGTTGCGGATCCGGCCTGGCTGGTTGGGATGCAGGGGCGTGGGGCCGAAGTTGTTGTTAGTGATGTTGAAGAGTTGCGAAAAGTCGAAGAGGCGGGGTCCTGGATTCGCAAAGGCTGGAGTGGAAGGGCCGCGCGGGTTGGGCCCGAAGTTGTTGAAGTTGACGCCAGGTCTGGTGCCAGTTGCGTTGTTGAATCGAAACCAGTTGAAGTCTGGTTGGGGCTGAGTAGGCCACGGGCGAAACATTTCGAATCAGGAGCACAACTGGGTGTGTGAGATTCGAGTAATCCCATCAATAGTTAGGAACGCTACGACAGAAGGGATATAGATTTGGGTTATATTGGAGAAATCTTCATCGGTCTCAATGTTTTAGCCTCATCGCTCTTCGCTACACACGCACAACCGATACAGCAAGCAAGGGCGGGGTCCGGTGTTTGCTGCTCTGACCTATAGCCTGTATGTGCCGAGTTCTTTCTGGCGGTGAGGACCTGTATGCAGCCGAATTACTGTCGATTCGGTGATAATCAGCTGTGTGACGGATGCACACATAGCGGTCAAGGATGCCGCAGGGTACCAAGATCAGTGCGTTCAACCTCATGAGGCGGTGGTACATAAGCAGAGTATGAAACTATACATCGTTTCCGTCCACCACAGTGCGGATTTGATCTATGTTAAATTGGGTGGTCGAAGTTACAGCAGAACGGTTTAGGGTGAGGTTTTACAGATGGCCCTTCGTCAGAAACTCAACTTTGCCGCCTTCCTCAGTTTGGAAAATGACCTGGAGGTACCGCAGACTTCAAACTACCTGAGTAGGACGTACCTTGTTCAGTATGTTCAGAGTTGAAAGACACACCAATACAATGGGGATGCTCACGGTAGACTGGCGGAAAGAACTCAGCTGCGGACTGAAGATTAGCAAGACGAATGCATGTTTCAGGCTAAACCACTGCATGTTCTTCTTTCAAAGCAATTAAATCACTGACCTACATTGAACTCATCGTTTATTTGCATCGTGAAATCTGTCGGAATTCTTTTGCTTCATTCCCTCCCTGATAAAGTACTCGTTACACAGCTTCAGATGTGGCTATTTCTGTGGCGAGGCACCCCTAGTGATCACCAAACCCACGGTCTCTGCGGCAACAGTCGATCTAGGAATGAATGCCATCTGGAGACAGAGGGATGGGTGATTCTACGGTCTACTAGTTTCGAAGCAGTTGACATAGGTGAAGTGATGGAGAGATGAGGTATTTCTCACAGCCAACCCTACTACCTACCGAGCCCTTGCTCAAAAATAGAGACGTCGAGGTCATCGAAGATTGCTCTGATACGCCAAGCTTCAAGCGCTTCGGCTGTACAAAAAAACCCGACTTACCGAAGAAGTGGTGCCAAGCGATGAAAGACGTAATGAGAATAGATGGTTGCATCGAATAGACATCCCCATGCGAGTTGCAAACCCTCGGTAGGATATGCGACGAACCAGCTGTAGATACGTCCCGCACGGCATGTAACTCAATATAACTTCCTACAAAACCTAGAAGTTGTGGCTAGCGCACCATGTTCGGAAGTATACATTACCGCAGGAAGAGTTGGGAAGGTGTTTACATGGTTGCCTATCCAGCTGGCACTGCGCAGATCCTACCCCCTTAGTAGAAGCCTGCAGTGAGCCCCTTATTGAACAAGACATGGTGTATCCAGACGTCAAAGACAAGCGGGCCTTGATACTCCCGATATACGCCCGTGTCACGCGAGCTGACTTGACTCCGGACTTAGTAGACAATGAAGCCGAGGTAGTAGCTCGAACAAATGATGAACCAGGCGCGAACTCCTATCAACCGCATCCACTCCCTGCTTCTTGGCGAACTCATTGCACACGGCCCTGGAACTTTAAAAGGCTTCAAGCTACAAAACTTTCTTCTATCTCAAGTTAACTACTCAACCCTTAGTTTTAGCGAGACCTTTGCAACTGGGTCCGAGATTCGAAATGAAGCTTTACACAGTCATACCGGCTTTGTTGCATTTGTCTCTATCCGCCACTTGCTATGCAGCCAAGTCATTCTCCGCCTCGAATCTTTACTATGCTGCTGGCCTAAATGATCAGCAACAGACCACACTTTTCCAAGGCCTCCAGAGCGCTAGTGTCAAGGTTCTACGAGTATGGCTTGATGGTAAGAAACCTTTGGCCTAACGACAAAGATGATGCGTGCACACTGATTCATTTCTTGTCGCAGGCCAATCGGGAAGCGAAAAGGGCACAACTTTGGACAACTTCAACAGCCTCCAGGGTGACGGTCCCGATACGTGGGACGACACCGTACTCAACCGCCTCGACAACTTCATGGTTCATGCCCACGACTACGGCATCAAACTGCTCGTTTCCATCCACAGTTACAACGCTCTCGAAGCAAATTCTGACTTTTACGGCAAGTGGTACGGCACCGGCGACTTTTACACGAACAATGAAGCGATGGGGTACTTCAAGACGCGCATTGCGCATGTTCTTGGACATGTGAACCCCAAGAATGGCAAGACCTGGGCTCAAAGCTCTGAGTACATCTTTGCCTTTGAGGCGCAAAACGAAGCTATGCATCCACAGGTAAGACGACATTCCGCCAACGGGCGATATGACTAGACTGACGACGTCTTCAGGGGAACCCATCAGCCCTAGCGTCATGGCAGTGCACGATGGCACAGGCAATTAAGCAAGGCCTCAACGGCAGTACCGATATTCTAGTCACTACCGGAGGCGGTGCCTACGTCGACAACTCTCTACTAGGCCCATACTTCAGCTGCAGCGCCCTGGACGTTCTTGCCATCCACGCCTACGGAATTGACGATTTCGCTACGTCAAAGCTTCAGCCCTACGTCACCAAAGCCAAGAATGCTGGGAAGAAGCTCATCATGCAAGAATGGGGCGCTTGTTACACGGATGCCCCGAACCACAACTGCAACGGCGGCAATCCCATTGGTACTGGAACCAGAGACTCCAGGATTCGTACTTGGGCTGCGAGTATTGACGCTGCCGGGATTCCGTGGTTCTACTGGCAGATCTTGCCCAACCCTGACCCCCACCACGGATGGGACTATGAGGTGGGAATCAACGATGTGAATTGGAACGCGCTCAAGGCGGCTGGTCTCGCCGCAGGCCAAGCAGAATCGGCATTCGACTTTGACCGTTATCTCTTGTGATGGGTATCCGTCAAAGTACACAAAATGATTAACCGGTGGAATGTGCGCCAGCCATACAACAAATGAACAGAGAGGTTGATTGATGAGAAGCCAATTCTTGAAGGCTATGTCAGACGAACGTCGATGTGACGCGGAGAATGGAAACAACCAGGCGGAAATCTCACAACTGTGAATTGGCCCAGGTCCAGGCTAGTCCATGCCAATGTGCCTAGCTTAGGGTAGGCAGCAGCATCTTAGCGTATCTAGTATCCTTACCTAGAGCACATACATATTCATGTATTGCCCAGATGGATGACCGGTAATTGATATTTCCGCATGCAAGCCTGATTCATTCTGTTCTTCAAGTAGCTAAACTATAAAACCTCACACTGGTGCCCATAGCTGGCATCGTTACGATACACTATTGAAATTGTTTCTTGGAACCACCCAGAATGGATATCACCCGCCAAAGACGCCTTCTCCTGGAGAGACTCAGCCCAGGTGATCGTTCCTCAAGGAAGTTTCAGGAAACTGCTGGTCGACGTGTAGGGACCATTGGTGAATGGTTTTTACAAAGCCTACAAGTACAGCATTGGGCCAAGTCTCAGGGACCGCAGTTTCTCTGGGTTCGTGGTGATGGTACGCACAGCTCGATTCCATCAAATTCATGAATTTGCGCATTATGCGCTGCTCTTTAGTCGCTAATTGCACTCCAGCATCGACCGGAAAGAGTTGTATAAGGTATGGCGCTTAGTTTCTTGCCTCAAAAGGCCCTGACGGTTCATTTCCCACAGTTCACTCCTTGTCGAACACCTTTCAGCAACCCAGCTCGATTCCGGCATAAAGTCTGCAGTCGCTTGTGTACAGTTTGAAAACACAGGACTTTATCACTCATTGGCAGACTTTGGTGATGCGATCACTTCCATTGCCAGACAGATTGTATCCCAACTGCCCGAGTCGTCCGAGGCCCTCAGAAGGCTCATCTCTACACCAGTAACTGTGTGGACGTGGTGGTCAGACAACTTCCAGGTAATCTGGGCCGAACTCGAAGCATACTTTGAAAAGATAGACATCGTCTTAGACGGCCTAGACGATCCAAATCCCGCAGCGTTTCTCGACTTCATGGCCAAGCTTCGTCTCTCGGACAAAGAGTCGCCCATCAAGATTGTTCTGTTGAGCCGCTCAAAGCCCTTTGACGAGGTCCTACGAAGATTTCAAGGAGCGAGCTTAGAGGTACGGGCAAGCCAGGAGGATATGATTCAATACCTCCAGCAGTCTTTTCAAAGCAACCACGATGTACAGGCTGGAGAGCTAGCCAAATCCGAGCTGGCACAAACGTTGACGCGATGGGCCGGGCTATTCGACCACCGGTAAGTGCGCGCACATATTCATGACCACAACCTGTCTGGCATTCGCTGATGATCAACGCTATCAAGTTTCATGCCCATATCTAGTCAAGACTTACTCCATTCAGCATCTCCAACGGGTTTCGATGTTTTGGAGGCTGTTTCGCGGGAACTCTCTCAGGCGAATGCTTTGCAGAAGGGCGCCACGTTTTGCGAGCTCGCCGTGGCTAGCATCACTCAGTCTGCACACGGGGACCTAATCATGACGATTCTCTATCTTCTCATTGCGGCCAAGAAGACTAGACACCATCTTAATGGCGAGGCTATCTTGGATGCCTTGCGTATGAGCGACCAGTGGCTTGCAGGTACCTTGCTAGCAACGACGGAGGATCTTGCCCGCATGTGCTCGGACTTTGTCTTTATCAATGAGCAAATACAGGTATGGGGCATCAAGTCTCCTCTTCTGGCAGAGCATCTCGATGAAAGACGTGCGACACATTGCCCAACGGACACAATTGCCGGCATAATCCTGCGATATTTGTCGAACCAAGAGTTCACAGCCGGCGCATGTGGATCATCTACAGCGCTCAAACGCCGCTTCAAAGAACATCCACTACTATCGTTTACCGCACGAAACTTGAGCCTCTGGATGGCTTATGTTGACGTGGAAAGCATTTCTGCGGCTTTCTTACAATTCTCTTCCAAAGCCGCTTCAATCGATTCCTATTTGCAAGCAGCCGAAGCCTGGGAGTTTAACGAGGAATCAAGCTACGAAGAGCTTGAGGCTGTTGAAGAGCGCTGGAATGTCTACCCAAAGGGATACTCGGCGCTTCATCTCGCCGCCCATTTGGGAGCAGGGAAGACTATTGTAGGTGAACTTGTTCGGCTCGGTGCGGATGTGGAGGGGCTAGACAGGATGTTGCAAACGCCCTTGCATGTTGCAGCCTACGGAGCACAGTTTAAAGAAACGATCCGAGTCCTCTTACAACACGGAAGTGACGTGTCTGCCTTGGACGATGGGGGGCAGGAACCTTTGTCGATCGCTTTGGTTCACGGGAGCGTTGGAACGGTCCGAATACTCATTGACCACGGTGCCAAATTTGATACGAGCGATGAGGATCTTCTGGGAGAATGTCTAGAGGAACAACCGCAAGTCTATGTATATTTGATTGAACGAGGCCTGATCTCTAATCAGTCCTAGAAGTCTGTTTCTCAACTGCTCTTAGACACCACGTGTGTGATGACACTTCTCATACCTACGTAATCAAGTCGTCACAATCATTTTCCTCTCTCGATTGCCTCTATGCTTGAGCTTCCGGTTCCATCTTTATGCCAGACTTTCGACGTTGTCAATTCGGCTGTGATTGTGACCGCCCATCTGAGCAGACGTGCCTCTACGGAAAGGAGGCTTCAGGTTCGAGATGACCTCTTACATAAGACTGCTTGCCCCGATACCAACCATATCTCCATTTGGTCAGAGACCATGACCGCCGTTCCTTAACCAGGGTCTCAATATCCCAGACAGTCCCTGGATGAAAACTGCAAGACACGAGAGAGTTGCCTTTGACAAGGTTTTCTATCGCCTGCGGAAAGCTCTCGAAGATATGACATCGATTTTCAGGACTGTCATGACGAGCATAATCTGGGTTAGGGATATGTCCTACGACATCCATTATTCCACCCCAAGGAGTCTGTCTCCTCTCCCGCCAAGATAGCTGTGGAAGAAAGCCTCGTTTGAAGCACTCGTCCATTCCTGCCCGCCAAGCAGCGTCACGCAGCAGGACGTCCTGAAAGATTTGTTCACAGCTTCGATCTCCCTCAGAATCTCCATCAAATATGAGTTTGAAGGCATCTGGAGGCATGCCAGATGACGGCAACGCCAAGGCTTCCACCACCCAGACAGCTATGAGGTAAGAGACTTCATCCGCCAGCACTTTCCGGGGAGGTTGTCTCGCCTTCTCAGGTTTCAAGTGAAGAAGATTCTCCTGAAATACAGTATCCCATAATTTGACGCGACGTTCAATGCGTAGATTCGGGTTTTCTTTGCAGAACCGAATCATCCCCAATCCGTGGCATTGAGGATTGCAGACAGACATTTGATCTTCCATGAGCCTGATGTTGCGAATACAACCGCGAAGTATCGGGGAAATCGAATCCAGAAACTTGACGGCAGCTGCAACAGCGGAGTAGCGGAACCGCTGCGGATCGACGGAAGTCTCCTCATCCTGGTACAAGTCGTCCGAGACACAAGAGAGTCTGCAATTCTCGGGATCAAGGAGGTAACTGAAATGATCGAGAACATTCTGAGATGGAATTGCCCATGGGTCAGGGGCAAATTCGAAGAGTCGGTCTGGTGGAACAGTTGGTTGTTCAATTGGGCTTTCGTTGCCATAATATTCGTCGACCCAGTGCACTTCGTTAATGATTCTGTCGTAGTCGCTGAACAGTGATTTGTTGGATGAGATACTTTTGAGCGTAAATCGAACAAAGTCGCGGCAGGACGATGGAGTTTCACCGTAAGAGCTTCGAAAATTTCCGAGATTACCGTGGTCCGTCTTCATCACGTCTAGAACGGGAATGAAGGCCGGATAAGCAGCTGCGACTTCCTTCACCACCTGGCTGTGGAAGTATCTTGGGGGAAGTTGCTCAAATTGAGCCGCAAGTTCCTCGTCCATCATATTCATCATGTGATGGAATCGTCCAACATTGATGCCGTCAGTCCTTAATCGGGGGTGAAATGCGGAGAAAGTGATGGTGTTATGCTGGAAGGGTAACCCTTGCATCTCCAAAGCAGCGCGCTTGCAGGTGTACAACAAGTCGAGAGAGATAGGTTCGTCGTTGCCGGCTCGCAGCTTGTTGGTGTGCGGATCAAGCTTGTATCCTTCATCAAGCTGAAGATAGTATTTGTAGATCAAGTTGCGCAACTCATTCGGAAATTTGAAGAAAACCAAGCCGCCTTGCGTGTCGCAAACACGTGAATTGGCGAATGAAGCCATCGTGCGATCGAGCGAGTGTGTGCGAGTGAGTGAGTGACTGAGAGTGACAGTGCGGAATTGAGAAGAAAAGAGGTTGGAGACAATTCGGCCTTGATAGTAGTCTTTGGTGTGCAGGCAGGCTAAGTAGATATAGGACTGAGTGAGCAGGTTGATCAAGGTGTCCGCATCTGCAGCTTTCTCCGGTACGTGATGTGGCTGAACTGAACCAACTAGCGCGGATCAAGGGGTTTCCACACCGACGAGGTGGCACAGCAAGGGTGGCTGATGATCAACGATGGATGTACGGATACAAACAATGTGGAACGGTAAGTAGGCTCAGCATTTCTTATGTTGAAGAGGCCTGAGGAAGCGGCAGAGTTGTGATTCATCACGCATCAGGGACGGCCGGAACAAGGTTTTTAAGGACGGAGTATCGCCCAATTTTATTTGTTTTTTATTTCTACCTTTGCTGGCTGCTCGGGCGATTCTCGATATCGGTTACACAGTATTAACACACAGTATCAGTAGATACTCCCACTATCTCGTTAGACTATTTTTTTTTGGATGTTCTTCCACCTTTTTGAACTTTCCCTCCTGCAAAGTTTACAATCACGGCTGGATGTCGAGCGGGCATTAGCATTCAATCCATAAATGAGTATAAGAGATCCGATTCAAGGACTCAATCTGAATTGAGATGAATGTCCAGGACACTTACATTATTGACGGCGATATTGGGCGCCCGACGCCACCACCTTGTGAGCCTGCTTGTTGTTTGTTAGTGTTTCGTGCTGCTGAGGCTCCTGACGTCCAGACGTTAACATACCCGCGCACCTGGCTGAGTTGGCTGCCCTCTATTAGATAATGTCAGCTTCTCTACAAAAGATAGAATTTCCTAGTAACCACAGCCTGTGAGGATAAACGTACTCCAGGTACAGCAGCTCACAACGGTGGCATCGGAGATGCCCTCGTCGCCGTCGTTAAATGATGTCGACCTCTGCAAGCCATTGCGGTGTTAGCTACGGGCCGTCAATGACGCTGTCGGGTCGCGGTCTCGCTCTCACCACGATGTCTGCCCTGCTAAGGAGAACCCGTCAGCACGAGTCATGTTCAAAAGGAAGTTTGGATGGCTTTGACGACAAACTTACACACTTTCAACTTCAACTCGCGCACACACACACATTCGTTACCTCGTTTCCTTTGTCGAAGTCGGAAAACGCTGCTGGAATGAATCAGTTATCAATTTGCCAGGGCACGCGCTCATGTATGTGTGTAACACACCTTCCCTCGCCGTCTGTCGCTGTCGCCCTGTCGCTGTCGCCCTGTCGCTGTCGCTGTCGAATCGTCTACCTGCTCTAAAATGATCAGCTCACGATCAAATGTTCAAATCAGCCTACCTATTGCATTGGAACACAGTACACTGCCTCGCATCGTATGCGATGCATTCCCCGCTGATTGACCTTGAGATCGTGCACCATGGTCCTTGACTAAAAGCAGCAAAACACGAGGATACAGCGCGTCAATTATATTCTCACCTCAAACACATACTGTCGAAATGCCGAGACGCCCAGTTATCGTCGACCCCTGGGACTTCCTCGATGGCTAAAGAGAATAGTTATAGGATGCAATCCCGTTTTCACTTCACCAGAACACGTACCCAGAAGCTCAATCCCACAAGCATCATACTGGAGGACCCCGAACTGTGGCACGATCGTCTTAAGGAATACGGATTGGACACTGTCGACTTGAAGATCGGAAAGATGCATGTCGACATGGCTAGTGAACAGACATTAAATGATATTCTACGTCCCTCCAAAGAGGGAGATACGTACCTGTTGCCCTAATTGGCGCCCAGCTTATGCAACATGGTAGCCTCGAAATGCCTGACCGACTCCAGAGTACTATCAATACTCTGAAAACGCAGCGTGGGAGTAGAGTAGGAAGGACTAAAAGGGATATTCTGGAGTTGTTAAATAGGGCGGAAAGTAAGGGGTGGTTTTCGGCTGTTCGGAGGGCGATTAATGTGCTGCGGCGGCGGGGTCGTTCTGATGAACTTGTCAGCTCCCTGTCCTGTAACGTGTAACGAGAGTAAATTATAAGATTGCATACAGCATCTTGAGTTTGGTCAGTGTCGACAGCTGCTTGCCGCATTAGTATAACCCTGTGGTTCCCGGCGGTGAACTGACCTACTTGGTGACGGCTGCGGCCGGCTGTAGTCAGTTATGAAGTTTTGTTAAAGTACGCAATAAAGACACTCGATATTGACCCTAATAGACCAGCTTGCCCGTGAAGGCGAAGATGGCCCCCAATGAGGCGGACCGGACCCCAAAGGGTAAGTGGTACTGTGTGTATTTATCACTATCGAGGCATGACTAGGACTTCTCGCATGATGGATGGGCAAACTATGCATTGTAATGCCCGAGTACTAAGCAAACCAGTAATGACCTGCAGTTCCACCAAAGGCTGTCTTCCCCCGGCCTCCCTCGTTCCAGTTTCCGGGGCAGAGGCACCAGACACCCCATCACGCTCCATCTCTCTTTTGGAAGATTTTGTCGGGTGTTTGCCGCCCAGTCAAGCCAAATTGTTCAATGGATAGGTAGCGGATAGCCCACGCGGCAGCAGCCTTGGAATCACGCGTCAGCAACTTCTTCAAATCATGGTGACCGACTTGCTGATAGAGCCGTGTCCGCTCAGCCAACAAAGCAGGACAGTGGATGAAGACATGCTCGACGGTGTGCTTGCCCTGCTTGCACGGGCAGAGGTCGTCGACGATGTCGCGAACCTGGTGAAGACACAAGGGTCAGTCAAGGGCAGAGACCGGCAAAGGAGAAGGGAATGCGACGAACATGGATGGAGAAGAGGTAGGACTTGAGTCCCACGACACCAGTCCTAAGGTGGAACAACATGGTGCTCTCAGCACGCGTGAGCTTGGCATAGTATTTCAAGCTGGCTGGGCCCCATTTTTCCGAAAGGGAGAGAGGACGGTGGTTGGCGATGCGAAGGTTTGGCTCGGTCTGATCCTCCCTTCGGTCTTGGCGAGCGTCAAGGTAGTTCTGCCAGTACCGCGCGCATGCCTCCTGAAGTTTGTCGTTGATGACTTTGCCCCGCACTTGCTGTCGGTCAAGGAAGTTCCGCCACGTTAACTTCGGTAGCGGAAAACCGCGCCGGTCTGTTTTCGTAGCTCGCTCCTCGTTGAGTTCGATGAGTTGCTTCCGGGCCGCGAAATCAATAGAAGCGGCCGTGACTTTGTAGAGGATGCGGTATGGGTGTGCTACGTTGTTCGCTGCGCTTAGGGTCTTCGGCATGGTACCGGTTGCCCACACGGTATCGAGAGAACCGTATTCCGGGGTGTCAAGATTGCGAGTGCGATGTTTTTGGCCGAGTTTCTCAAGGAATAGAGAAAGCGGCGGCACATCAAGCTCCTGGTGGACGACCTGGGTCGCTGTGGTCTAGTAAGCGCCGGCGACCTGTCGGAGACACGCCGCCTGTGCCTTGTCAAGCTTCGTGACCAAATTGGCGCTGATCTGCCAGCGGACCCTGCGTTCGTTGTCTCGATAAAGGAACCACACGGGAGCGGCGCGGCGATCGGGCGGACACTTGTGATGTACAGGCGTCTGATGCTGGCGAGAGAGGGCCCCCATGTCGAGCCGGAAATACGATAGATGGTGCGCATCTTGGCTTTCATCTTCTCGGTAACCTGTCTCCCACATTGTCAGCGGCGTACTCAGCTGCATTAAGCTTGTCAGGATGTACTCACCTCCTTTACGTGCGTGGCCCATGTCAAAGATTGGTCCAAGTAAACCCCAAGAAGCTTGATCACCTCCTCCTTCTTTGCCCCTTCCACACCAACGTCTGGTAGATCTGCCAATGGTATGATTCTGGGTGGCTCAGGTTCGTCGGCAGTTCTCGAGTCTAGGTACCTGCCATAGAGTACAACTTCGACTGAAAGGTGCTTGGCCAATCACCCGACTTAGGGCTCCACAGGCGATCTGGGAATACGCTTCCTCTGGCCTGCCTTTCTTCTTCATAGCACGCCTCTGGCAGGGGTCAAGTCAAGGAAAGCAGCTGAAACTACACACTGTCTGTCCTGTCATATGTCTACGATTTGGCACGATGTGGGAATGCGCTGCAGAGGTGGGTAGCATATTGAATCAGTGAAATGAGACTCAAGATCGTGCTGATTTTCGTGAGCGAGTATGCGCTTAGATCTCAGCAATGTTTGACCAAGATTGCGTGACGAGGGGCGAGGTCAGTAAATGTCGACACTGCCATGTCCGGAAAACGTTCAAGAGCTGCATATCCCATGTTCCAGATTGATATATGGCAAATCAATCCCTTTTCACCAGGTAAAAGCAGTCCCAGATATCCCATTATATGAGGGGCTTCGTGAAAGACTTTAGCCACTAATCCAATCAATGGCCCACTCTCCAGGTTACCTTGCCGTCCTTGCCTTAGTTCCGGCCGGTCGGCACTGCGGGGCCGGAACCACATTCCCCACACCCGCACGGCCGGCCTTCAAGCCGTGTAACGAGTCAAGATGTGGGTAGATAAGTAGGTGCCTCTCAATCCACGAAATCTAGAAGAGGGTTTCGAGAGTCCCGAGTGCGGCAATTTAGTCAAGCAATTTGCTGGCGGTAGTGCCCACCTAGTAGTTGAACCGGTATATGTTCATAGAGGTGTCCCGTGAGGGAGAGTTGACTGGCATGCTGGTGCGATGTGGCTGTCGAGGTTCGTAAAACGGATGGCTGGAACCGTGATGGCGAGACTGCAGCCACAACGGTGTTGATGATTCAAGTAAGGCTAGCGTGACATTGGTACAAAAGTGTGACTCCTGCCCATCCTAGTTCCTCATTCTGTCACTAAGTGGTACTCTTTCAATACCTTAGACCACGAGCACACCAGAGCTTTCACTGACACAGACGTTTCTAAACCACAATGAAGCTCCAGGTTCTCTATCTAGTTCTCCTCAAGTAAGCATCCAATCTCTCTTACATAGCTCACAAATGTCGATGCTTACTTTCTACAAGCACCTGGATCGCCTCCGTCAACGCAGACTTCTTCCACTGTATCTGCCAGTCATGGTCATTCCACACTATCCGATCCAAAGAGGCCTGTATTTGGATGAAGAACGAATCCCTCCCCAAAGACCAAGTCACCATAAGTCTGGTGGGTGAAAGCGGCCCTTGGGCGGGTGCCCTTACGGTATGAAATAGCTTCCCATCCCCTCCAAACCCCTTCGTGTGAAGCCGTAATGGCTGCTGATCTATGTCGATCCGCAGTGTCGCATGCTGAATCCCGCCAAATTTTGGGGTGCTCCTATTTGTTGGGGACAGTATGGCTACGACTGGCATGATTTCTGCAAGCCCGAGTGTAAGAACGATGGGAAGGACGCCGAGGACTGTATCAGGACCTACCGGTCAATCGCCTGATAAGACGGTGTTTGACGCAACACGTATTCGAAAAGGTGTACTTTAGTATGAGTGAATCTCAATATTATTGAGTTTTCAGTACTGCTCAAAAGCACTTTCCCTTTGAATACAGGGGAGGGTGGATTCCGTGTAACGTCGTCACCTCCATGTGGTCTTCGTCTGCAGTAATGCACAGCGCCTCGTTCTCGTGAGGTGAGCTTGTCGAGCACTTATTGGCAAAGACGTAGCATTTGTATCCAATTATGTGCCAATAGCTCAAAGATGACTGAGCAAAGGGTTACGCAGAGGGGCAATCATATCAGTCCGCCATTGTGAAGTATTCTCTAAATATGTGTATGTGTCCAAGTCCTAAAGCATAACAGCGATACCAAAACCTTCCCCCTACCGCGACCTGGATATATTGGCACGACCATCCCATGAATCAAGGCATCTCGACCCGTTCATTGATTGCCGGCATCTCGTGTATAGCCCTTGGCTGATCCGCCAACTCAGAAGGGGCTTGGCCGACGCCGTGGTAGTAATACGGCGAGCCTGGAGTTCTCGGCGTACTGAGCGGACTGGGCGAAAACATGCTCAGAGTCATGTCCGAGACTGGCCGGCCCTGTCCTGCGTCCGAGGCTGTGGACGGGGTGTGGGGATTTATAAGGTTGTGTTTCTCGTCAGGCAATTCTGCAGGAACAGTCTGTTCGTGGTCATAAGTCTCAGTCTCATGGGTGTTGAGTACCGGACCATGTCGGGAGCGACGACGTCGGAGTAGCATGAAGGCGACGAATAAGGCCGATCCTATGAGAAAGGCGGAGGAAACGGCAATGCCAGCAATAGCCCCGGTGCCTAGGGTTGAGCTGCTCGTCTCGGAGTCCACGGATGTAGGGGTGGCAGCTGTGGGTGATGTGATGTTTACGACAGAAGTCCCAGTATCGGAAATAGAGGTAGGTGTGGTTGAAGAAGCCAGAGATGTCGTCGTGCCGCTGCTTTGCAACGGCGGCATTGATAGAGACGGTTTGTTTGCGGGGGCCGTATACGCCAATGGGACACCGCCAGCTGAAGGAATCGTTGCTGGGGCATACATTGCCAAAACCCGCCTTCCTAGATCTTTGCAGTCTTTGTTGGGTGGCAAAGCCTGAGGTTTCCAGGGCCAGACAGATTGGGTGACCTGCGGTCGCTCGGGTTCAGTCGGGCAATTTTCGCCGCAGGTATCTGGATGGTTGCAAGCCCAGTATTTCAGAATACCTTCGTTCTCAGTATCGCACCGGACAAGCCCTATCCAGGGGGACTTGGCTGTCAGATTGATTAATTGTTAGTGCCCTGAAGGAATCCAATGGGTCATGGCAGAGGAGGAACGGACCTGGGTCGAGATCGCCCTTGAGGGGACAGATTTTGTCTGCGTAATTCGGGTCGTTACAGCCATACTGATAAGTCACGCCCGAATCATGATTCCAACAGGCTTCATTGACGCAGGCGTCCCCTGCCAGACAGCACCAACTGAAGCCACCTTTTGTTTCATTCGCCGGTAAGCAAGGGAGAAGGTTAGGTGGACCGACATAACCTGCATCAAAGTAGCACTGGTCATAGTCGTCGTTTTCGCTTTCCGTAGCGTTGACTAGGAGACCGAAGGCCAGATAGAGAAGAACGATAAATAGCGTTCGATCCCCCATGATTCCCGGCAGTCGCAAGTCGTACGCGTAATGGGCGAATTCCGACACACTATCGAAGCGATGGTCAACTCGAAGGTCCCAAGGGCCAGTGCGAAGTCGCTGTCGAGTATGGAGTAGACGGACAAGCTGCGGTTGAAATGGCGGCCAAATGGAAGAAAAAAATCGGCTCGATGGTTGAGTCTCGATGGACAAAAGGAGAGAAAAACAGCGTAGAACAGGCGGTGACAAAAGAAACAAGGAAAAAGGAGACCAAGAGGTGAGTACTTGGGTGGACGATGTCAGGTTAGAAAGGAAGGTGAAGTGTGCTGAAAGAAAGAGCTCCTGCCTTGGATACCTGACTTATTGACACAGCAGGAGCAGCTGCCCTCCTCCTTCTCTTTTAATTCACCCCGATCGGGACAGGGCTGGATTCTACGGAACCTCGGACCTTTCTTGCCGTCCTCACCTCCCCCCATCTGTCACCTAGGTGTTGGCAGCCAACATGTTCGACCTTCTCTCTCTTTTGGCCTCGCTCTCAACAGGTAGCTCCAAAGCTGGTCTGATGCGAACTTCCTGCTTTTTCGCCGAAATTATGTTTCTATCCTTCTCACAGGCTGCAACGTTACACAACGGCGAGGCGGTGGTGTTGTTTGCTCCTGGTAGGCTACCTGCCGGTGTTCCACGCCAATGCCGCCAATCAACCCGCGGGAGCCACGTCTGAAGATCAATTGATCTGCCATGATGTGGGACTGATACCAGACAGAGTTCCTTTCTTTCACCCTTCGCCACGCGGATGCGCACATGAAGACACCAGGATGATGGAAGCACGACCAGACACAGCGTTCGAGAAAGAAACGGTCAAGAGAAGGAGCTGAGCATACCCGTGGGAGTTGCAATAATGAAAGATGCTGACACCTTGTGGGTACGATTCTAACTCCAAGCAAGGTACAGACGATCCGAAGGCGGCGATACACGTGTTACTCGTTTGGAAATCACAGCCCATAATCAAACGTTCAAACGCCAATCCAAAGGCTGCCTTGCATCCCCCGTCGAAAATATGACCCTCATAAGTGACTACTCACAAGTGCTCGAGATAGGCACCAGAACCCAGTTCAGAAACAACCATCTGTGATGGCTTGATAAGCTCCCATTCACCCTGGTTAAAGGTGCTGGGCTCGCTGGCTACCACAACGTGCTCTCCATGCTTCTTCTTCTCTAGCCGCCCGTCGTCCTCGGCATCCCCGTCACCACCATCGGCCGAGTCACTCACGTCGCTTGGAAATCCCTTGTACTTGCGGTTGAGCGTTGCTCCAGCTGTCGTCGAGTAGTACAAACTCGGGGGTTCCAGTCCTTCCGGGCTGGCATATCGCACAGCGACGAGCGAGCTGCCAGACATGACAACAAGGTTGAGTGTGTTAGCCTCTCGGCTCGGCGGTCCAAACTCGGTCTGCAGTTTCTCGAGGATGATGATAGTCTCCCGCATCGCTGTCGCCATCTCTCCTGCATCATAAACAGACTCCCAGTCGCCATCCTTACCGCATAATATGAAAAAGTACACGGCCGCAATGTGCTCAGCATCTGTTGTCCCGACAACGGCCTGTTGGTATCTCAACGGAAGATATTGCAGAATTGCCGTACGGATACGAGGAAAAGACCCGAGGATGCCGTTGTGGGCGAACAAATGACGACCAAACGCAAAGGGATGGCAGTTGGTCTCTACGACTGGCGTCAGGCCTGGGGCTGCGCGGATATGGGCAAGGACGGCATTACTGCTGGTGCCTCGAACGATGCTCTTGAGGACCAGATCGTTGAGCGGAGGTCGAGTGTTTTTGTACACGACTGGACGAAGGGACTCGGGCCACTTTGGATCGATATACGGGTTGAACTCGCACTCTGTCGACGTATACCACCCGAGGCCGAATCCGTCCATGTTGGTCAATGGATTCGGTGAGCCTGCGTCATTGGCAGCCAAAGGGGCGACCTGAAGCTCTCCGAGAAATGGTTCAACCGTTGAATGGCCAGCCGGTAGGAAGTGTTCGTCCACTACCGATATCATCATGAAAAGCCACGCTGAAACGTCATGACAGAACACTCACCTTGCTTCACAATGGCATGGCGCGGCCGAATGACCAAATCTTCAAGAAGCTGGGCTTCATCGCCCAGGTAAGCAAACCAGCGACACATGACCGAGGGCGAATTTTTGTTCGTGTCAATTGATCCCAGGAGACTTTCTCGATTGTTCGTTCTTTCGTGGAGATGAGCGATTGACGTTGAGATGGCAAGAAGGTAGTTGGCAGCCCGTCGGGACTACCCTCATTCCTCACGCTCGGTCATAGCGGACGTCTGATCTGAAGCAAAAAGCCTCGACATTGACCAGAGGCGTAACTGACGTCACGGCCTTTAGAGTTCTCTTGCGCTTGAACAGACCTCAAATTGGCGCTTGTACGGATATAGCGTGCCGTGTCGGGAAGCACTTCTTGAAAGCACGACAGCTTCTACCAGTGCGCCCCAAGGCTCGCCTACGGCGTTGGGAAAAGAAACATAGAATCGCCGACGGACCATAATTGTAGTCCCTTCCGGCTTGTCACTCGCAATAAGGAATGCAACCACGCAGGCGAAAGAGTGGACAAAAAGGCGAAGATTGAATATGCCTTAATTACCGCCTAAGAGCCAGTCCGTCTTGAACCCCAACATTGAAGGACCCTTTGGCCCAAGACGTTCAGCGCGGCGTGTTTGGCGGGAGGAGCCGCTAGGTGCGCCACGTTCTGATGAGATTTTGGCTCGAACGAAGCTTGGCTATGAGCTTGATTCCGGCCTGAGACCTGCCAGCGTCACCAATTCATGCCTTTCGCCCCCCCTTTGGCTACCACGCATTGGCAGGCATAGCAGGCATCGAACAGAGATGATGGTGGCATGTGCGGCAAGCAGCATTCGAGACAATATCCGGCGGGAGTGGTTCCCGACCGAACGAGAAATGGAAAGCCAAGATGCCGGACAGACCCGCCCGCCCGGCCATCACTCGGGGGCGACACCGGATTCCCCACTCATACTTTGACCGTCAGCACTTGGCCATATTAGGACCGCGAAGCTCGCAAAGCTGTCAGGGTGAAGCGTTGCCCAGTGTGCTGGACGGACTCAAGCTTCTGTCGTGGAAGACATCCCAAGAGCGAAGCGCGGCTTCACCCTGCACCTCATCCCAGCGTCATACTCCCGTGGGGGCTGAAAAGGGGCGGGCTCCAAGTAAAACCCCGAGGAAGGCAGAAGACGAAACGCCTTTCTCAACGCTCCCAATGGCTGACATTGGCAAGGCCGGAGAAACCAGGGATGTCTCAATTGCGAATCCTGTGGTGACCGCTTGGAAATTGGGTGGCTTTCGGAAGGCGTCTTCATCTTTTGGGCTTACTTCCGAGTCCCAGAGCCTACTCGAACAGCTGGTCGCTGTTTTGGCGCGCTGCCTTGGCACAAAGGTACTCTGAAAGAGGGTTCGATGACCCGACGATGCATCAGAGTTGGTCGGGGGGTCGAATCCTTCGCGCGCCAAAGATCCCAAGTGTGAACCCATTTGGCGCTGATCGCTGCCGCGCCTGATTTTTAATTGGACAAAGCTGAGAATACTACCGTGACGGCCACCACCCTCCCTCAGCCTTTGGGCTGAGTCTCCTTGGGTAAAGTCAGGGGGCGATGCTCCCTTGAGACTCTTCTGCCTTGACTACCCACGTCTAGATTCAGGCTACAGGAGCAAGCTTGTTGTAACGGCGGGCCAGTACCCCGTAGAGACAGGTACTATTCTCGCGCCAGCCCTACCGCTGTGACGGCCGTGGAACGGATGGCGTCCTGAATTGTCTTGGACCAGCGAGCCAGCCGGTACAAGTGCTGATGACGCCCCGCCCCTTGTTGCGCGCGCGTGGTGTGGCACAAGACGGTCAATCCTGCATGTCGCTCCCCGTCAACAACAGTATCGAGAGAGTCCTCGACCAGTCTTCGCTGCCCATTTTGTCTCGCATTTTTTACGTTCGGTCAGATTACCCCTACCTGATGCTTGGCAGCCTCATTTAAAGTCCTCCCCCTCCTCCTTTACTCTGTCGTCCCTGAGCGTGGCTTGTCTTGGTTTCCCCTCCGCGCGATGGCATCGCTACATCCGCACGACCACTTCTATTCCAACAGGCATAGCAACTATAGCAGTCACTCCCCATCCCCTGAAGCCGAAAAGATGCTCAAGCATCCAAACGGTGGGCCCGGACCCGAAGCCGATGCCATCCCGGATGGATTGGAGGTGAACACCGGAGCAAACTACAGCACGGCGCCGCAATCATATGAGCCGGCACAGGCGCAACCGTACTATGACCAGCTACAGCATCAGCATCAACACCAACCTCACACGCCACAGACGAACTACACCGAGACGACGTACGCTCAAAATCAGCACTCGCCGATGCCGGAAAAGCAGCTGGCGGAAAGGAAGGGAAGCAAGGACGACGGCACAATATGCGGGCTGCGCAAGGCCACATTTTGGTTGTTGATTCTTTCCAGTCTGCTGTTCTGCGCCTTGGTCGGTGTGGCGGGCGGATTAGGTGCTTTGGTGGCAAGCAAAAACAACGAAATCGCGAAGTAAGTTCCTCGCCTACAACACACGAGCAGCCGCATTCTCACAGCAAAACTAATACATCTCCACAGCCTCCAATCGCCATCCTCCTCTTCATCAACCGCCACACCCACCTCGGCGTCATCGTCAGCTGCCTTCGACCTAAGCAAGCCCGCCGCCACGGACACGCCCATCGCGCTCAACAAGTGTCCCGGGTCCAGCTCCGTGTTGACATACCAGGTGCCCGGGACGAACCTGACGTTTAGTAAGGATTGCGGGACGGATTATCTCTACAACGACATCGCGCAGGTGCCGGCCAAGAATTTCGAAGAGTGCGTACGGTACTGCGCGGCGTTTAACCTGCAGCAGCAGTCGAGAAAAGGCCCATGCAAGGGTGTCGTGTACATTTACGAGGGCGAGCAGGGGGAGGATAGCAATTGGTGCTGGATGAAGTACACCAAGAACATGGTGCAGAACGGGGCCAAGGACTACACCGAGTCGGCTTGGATTTTATAAGGATTTCTTGGAGGATTGTTGAATGTGGAAGCGCGTTCAAAAACTTGGTTTCGGAGTTCTTGGTGTGTGCTGCGGATACCCAGTTGTCACCCCGTTAATGAGAGACGTGTTCCAAAATGGCGAGAGGTTTCTTCCTTCTGACTCCTGCAGGATTGCATGCATCGCGATCCATCGTCTCCAAAGGCCGGGGAGCGACAGGCAGCCTTCACGGCTCGCCGGGAGGGGAGCAAGACAGCGGGCCAGGTCCTTGCCAGCCGGGGGGTTGGAAACTGGCCGGCTCGCAGACCGCGGACGAAACTCAGGCGCAGACCCGGCCGAAAACATTCACCAATCAAATACGGCCCCCAGCCGCCTTGCTAGCTCAATCGGTAGAGCGTGAGACTCTTAATCTCAAGGTTGCGGGTTCGACCCCCGCGTGAGGCTCAAATCCTCGCAGCGATTGTGTGCAAATCTTTTTTTTGGTGTTTTTTGATGCTTCTCTGGACATTTCATCGTCCCATGTGCCAATAGAGGTTGCGGTTTAAGCTTATTGCTTTTTGTTAAAGCTTGTTTGCCCTGCGTTGGGGTCAGTCAGGCTTGAACTCAATGAAGTTGGGGTACTGACGGAATAATGACATGGGGAACCACGGCGACAGACTTTTTACGCCCATCTCGCAAGCTTGGTTGGACCTAAGCTTGAACTTCAATCTCTATATTTATTGCGTGCATATCGTCTCTTTACTGTTCGAATTCGTTCAGAGGCGTGCACGATGTCCAACTCCGTCCCGAAAGGCTTGGCATTTTGGTTCACGAAGCCAGGGTGGGTTAACCCGTTCTTCAACAGTCTGGAGAAGGGTCTCGAAACCGGACCTTGGCGGATGTTGCCGTTTGTTGTCTTATCCGTAACGGCCGCTAATCTTCGTCCAGATCTCTAGATCCTATGTTCCCGCCAGGAACCTTCAGAGTGCCTTTTTGAGATGTATCATAGCGGGAAGGACCTGAGTAATGCTGCTAGGCAGACGCGAAAACTCGTCTCGCCGTCAGCAGAGCTTATCGTTGCAGAGAGCAAAAGAGTCATTAGACCCATGTCCGTGTCCCCGAAACTATTCCGTAAATGGCAGCTTCACAAGTGAGAAGTATTAGTCACACTCTCACAACATACAACAACGCCTCGAGTTCTCAACCAACTTCCAGTAAACAGCTCACAACTCAATACATACTCACCAACCTACAACCCTCAGGGTCTGCAGAGATTCTAGACCCTGAAAGCTGCCAAACATGTCCCCTACGCAAGATCTTCCACCCGCAATCCTCGCCCTGCCGAAAGCAATAATACGACCCTACCACAAAACAGACGCACCCGCCCTCTCCACCGCAGCAAACTCCCCCTCCGTATCCCGCTACCTCCGCGACTCCTTCCCCCGCCCCTACACCCTCGCCGACGCAGAGTCCTGGATCGCGATGAATTCTAGCGACGGCGGCGCGTCGGTGTACAACTGGGTCATCGCCTGTCCGGAAACGGGGAAGCCTATGGGGAGTATCGGGCTCGCGCCGGGGAAGGATGTTTATGCGAGGGGGTATGAGCTTGGGTACTGGCTTGGAGAGGAGGATTGGGGGAAGGGGGTTATGGGGTGTGTTGTGCCTGCTTTTGTGAGGTGGGTTTTTGAGGGGATGGGTGGTGGAGAGGTTGATGGGGAGGGGAAGAGGAAGGTTGAGAGAGTTTGGGCGGGTGTTTTTGAGGCGAATGAGGGGAGTCAGAAGGTTCTTGAGAAGAGTGGGTTTGTGTTTGAGGGGAGGGCGAGGAGAGCTGTTGTTAGAGATGGGGTTGTGATGGATGAGCTTTTGTACTCTGTTATCAGGGACGACTTGAAGAAGTGATTATGATCGCTCAATGCAATATTGCCACCTGTGTGATTTTCCCCAGACGCCTCAATCTCTTCACAGCATGGGTGGGAGTTGTCTTGACCGAGCAATGGTAGGTCTCAATTGGTGAAGAGCATTCGTGTCAAGAAGCTTGATAAATGTAGCTCGATCACAGAGTTGCGTCTGGGCATCTAGGCTCCAAAACAGGAGGCACTAGGCGACGATCCCTATGGGCTTCAATAACCAAAGCATGGGAGTCGCTGTCTGCCACCCAAGAGAGAAATTAAATGGTGGAGCCTGATTTAAGCAGTGATGTCTTTCTGACAATAATTACCTAGGTTCCAGTGGGCGAGATTACAAATTGAGCGGATTTGTCGCGAGACTGTCGAGGAGGATATCGTGACAGTCTTTCGAGACAACCTCCCCCACGGCCTTGACCTTCTTTACCAAGTATCTCTCGATTACATTTCCCACTCTGGGGAGGTGGCCCAAGACATTGCTACAATAGTTCTGTCTTGTGTTCTACACATGGTAGAACCGCCGAGACCTCGGGCCCTTCTAAAGGCCATATCTGCTGAACAAGCCTTGACCTTAGACTTGACACAGGTGTTGGTGATTTGCCCAAACTTGTCTTCCTAGACATCATGTGCGACGTACTGCGATTCTCACTAGTCAGTTCGCGACTTCTTAAGGCGCCATCAGGCCTTTTACCTGCCACAGCTCACGACACTCTCGCGTCTCTCTGCATCGGAGTTTGCTCGCGAGGACTAGATCTTGTATCCATCAACGGAATGCAGATTCCAAGCGATGACTCTCATATCTACGCAGCGCTGTACTGGCCGGTCCACTCCAAATTGGCATTCTATTTTGGCACAGACACACCTACTATGAAACGTGTTGAAAAGGATGTAACAACATTCATCTTTGATGAGAATTGGGATATCACCCTTTCTTACGAGAGCTGGGCGATGAACGCCTATAAGATCGATCTACTTCTTCCGGGAGACCATGCCCTGAAAGGCGAAATGAGTGCGATTGACTCATCAAACTCTGGATTCCTATTTACACTGAGCACATTTGGACTCGACTGCATTCTATACCAAGCGTTAGCGAACATCAGCAACGTGGACGTCAACCTACAAAACCATCTGGGTCAGATCTCCACTTACTTAGCCGCGGCATGTGGGCATTCAGCGACATTGTCTTTACTTGCTAATCGCGGCGCCCTCGTCAACCTTTAAGTGTGGAAGACATGGGAGTCCTTTATATGCAGCTTGCTTTCCTGCCCATTTGCAACTAGTCAAAGATTGCCTCCTCCATGGCGCCAAAGTTTCGTGGGGCTCTAGATTTGGAACAGCATTTGAAACTGCTTGCCGAGGTGGACAAGAAGACGTAGCGATGCATCTTCTACGAGTGGGAGTCGTTGTCAGGGATAGAGGAGAGTATGAAAAAGTCATTGAGAGTGCAGCCTTGGTCGGTCTTGTCAACGCAGTCCAGAAACTACATGATTCTGCATTTGCTGCTTGAACATCGACAATAACTGCAAGAGTACGAACGAAAATCAAGATCAGGAGGGCGATACAAAGCGGACAAAGCGGCGTCTTGCAGTAGTTTCTAAGTCAAACTCTCAGCAACCAAAGTCTTCTCACTTCGGATGCTGTTGCGCTTGCGGTTTAATTCAATGATAGATCGACAGTGTAACTACTCCTAGACAAGGGAATGGATATTGAGGCCAGCGGCGCTTTCGGTTCTCCCCTGAGAACAGCCTCGTTGCTCACTTATCAGTCGAATGTTCGGTAATTACTTTAAAGAGGCGCACTGATCAATGCCTGCGGACACTTCGGCGATTCTCTGCAGACTGCTGCGTAACATGGCTACATTGATGTCGTTGAAGTACTCCTGGACTCTGGTGCGGATGTCTATCAGAGTGGATACTATGCCAACGCCTTTGAAGCGGCTTCCAGAGGGAGCACCAAGCCGCCTTGAAGCTGATGCGGGAAAGCGCTGTGCCTCTCAACAAGGTTCAATACCAATTTCTCATATTGATGAATTCGAAGCTCTGGTTGCTTTACGAAGAGAGCACTCAGGAGTCGCTCTATGCTAGACTGTTAGACTTGGTCGCATTCGGTCTTAGGTGTCTAGGTACCTATGATGTTTAAACTTGCCTACGTAGCCTAACAACACAGCGTAATATTACCAAGATTCCGCTTAGGATACGCTCTCATTCTCCTAGACTGCTTGAAATCTGCGGGGTTGTGTCAAAGTCTTTCACTCATATATGCTTACTTCCAGAACAATATCACTCCTGTGTTAATCAGATCTTATCCGGGGCAGACGCCCCAGAATTCTCATTTCCTCTGGCCCTCCAACAATTCTGGGTAATTCTATATCTGGCAAATCTTCCACCAGTTTTGTCATTTAAAAAACCTTAATTGACAGTAAATAGTCATTCATCACTCAATTTGACACCGCCATCCCGGGACAGACGCCTCTTCACTTGTGATTTGACCCTGTCAACAGCCTTACCGAGACGAGATGTCATCATTCATCCCCACGCTGTGACCTGATTAGTAGCCAACTTATAATTCATGCAACATCACGTCAGGATCTGGGATAGTTTACAGGGTCTTTCTAGGAAGCCGAAGGCTGTATCAACCCCCCAACCAGTCGTGGTCGCCAAGACGGCTTGCGGGCAGAAGATGCCGTCAGTCTCTGGGCAGCATCTGCTTGAGCCACCAGAACATCACTGCTTGGCAAGGCAAAACTGTACCTTTAGCGTAAGTCCAGCCAATAGCAGTCTAGGGAGACCCCGAAGCGTTTGACAACTTGTCACTTGGTGACTGGACTATCGTCTGATCGTCGGCGCACCGGGGGGTGTCAAGGCCAACGGAACCAGCTTAAAGTGCAAGTTGGTATCTGCCGTGTTCTTTGGCCTCTTGGCAACGAAGGGAACTTGGTTCAAACTGGTACTGTGAGGATGACGTGATCCTTTTCGTGCTGTTAGTTGGGTCACCTGATGAAGGTTTGTTCAAAATAGTCATAAACGTTCCGCTTATCGAACAGAGAAGTGGCCAACATCCGCTACTCTTTGAGAAATAGCAAGAAACTCGGAATAACAGATGGAACGGAAAATGCAGGGCTCGTGAAGAAAACCCCCATCGGGTTTTCCATTTTAGTCGAGTCCTGAATGCTCATAATCCGGAATCATCTATCCAACAGCCCTTGCGTGGCGACCATACAAATACAATGGCTCTCTTCCCTGGAATTTCCTGAAGTAAAACCGTTACCGTTGACTATCATGGAAGCAAATGAGTGAGAAACCTATTTCATGCTTTTATAGATTTGGATGATTTGTGCACCCCGTGAGATATCTGCGGAGATGATGACAATATCATGTCAATCGCGCGAGTTGAAGTCTCGTTGGACAATGATCTTCCTGAGTCATGGCAAAGGCATTGCCACAAGGGTCTCAACCACCTAGACCATTTCTAGAAGTAGCGACAACGTACCGCAGACATTCATCGAGGCCAGGGCACGTTGCAAACATCCAAGAGAGGCAATTGATGATTTCAAGCTGATGCGGCCGTTCTCCAAAAACAGGTTGTAGATAATTCTGGCAAACTTGCCAGATGCAACTCGAAACTCTACCCGACTTAGAAAAGCGACTTGAACAAGGTCCCCCAGCCCATCAGTGGGACTAATGACAGCTTTCAGGAGCCAGTCGCAATGCAAACCACCCGCATGATCCAATAACGGAGCAGCCGTTAAGTGCAACGTCCGGGGCTTCCAGGCCCCCCGGGAGACCGGATCTGCGAGGCCGTGGCCGAACTTCGGACGAGAATCTGCAACTGCCGATGTCTACGGAGGGAAGCAGGCGGAACCACCGTTCGCAAGAGACATCGAGATTTTTTCGCCAAACAGCGCTCACGTTCGAGAGCTGCTTATCAGGTCCGTCTCAACATTTTGTAGGCTTCCACGGGTTCCGGGAACTTGAGGCCGGCCTGTAGTTCGCTCCCGCATCATAGGAATTCATTTTCTTTTAGACGAATTTCCGCACAAGTCTTCTTACTGGGTTATGCTCGCATAGAATTCCTCTCAAATTAAGTGAAGGCTAGAAATTAAGATTAGTGCGTGGGCATTTCTTGGGCAATTATCGGGCCCGTATAGGTCACTGTCGGTCCCGTGGATCAAGAGAGAGGAGGGGGGATGGCACTCCGCCGATCATACTCATGGATACCAGGGGGACGTTGCAGGCTGTAATAATTGCACTGGCCTAAAATCATACGTCGGTCTGGTTGAAGAAGCCCTGCTTACGAAGGACTAAGTGTTCGATGAAATCTCGCGGTCTTGATGTTAGAGTACGACACATGTGTTGCTCAAGATTTCCAGGTATACCTCATGTTATGTCATCACACGTATGTGATCCTGGGATCACTGAAGAATTACAACGGACTTGTGTGACGATTGCACGCAATGCTCAGCGAGATAGAATGCGAAACCGAGTTTCTAATCAAAATGGTATTCAGCCCCCAAGATACTGCCTCTAATCCGCAACATTATTGCTTCGACTCATCCATATTTACTTGATTATAGCGTTTAATGTAAGGAACCCTTGCTTGGAGAGTCTCGATGTAGTCAATGTACCCGCTGTCTACCTTAATTTATTTATGTTGGACGTCGGCAGGGCATCTTTGAGCTGCTTTGCTTGCTCCTAGTTAGTCTTCTCCTGCATTCCAATTTCATGCCAAGAATATCTTGAGAAAGAGTAAACTTGGTAAGAAGGCCCATCTGGAAGTGTAATTTTCTCGCTTGATCTTCATAAAATTGGGTTAGTGTAAAGACGGCTCCTTTGCACCGGACGCAGATTCCGGTATCTCAATGAATGTCGCTCAAATGGCCCACTTGATTGACAGAGATGGATCGAAGTCAAGAAATCGGTTAACAAGATTCAACGGCTTGTGCTTCTTGTATATGAGCATGATGACGCAGCAAAAGCCTGTTGATCCAATTACGTCCAGTAGTAGACAAGGGCTAATATCACCAATGAGTTCAAAGGAAGATGCTTAGTATTACGATAAATGGTGCGACGTGGTTCAAATTTTGCAGAACATGTATATCTCTCATTCTTCAAGTCGTTTACGAGCTTGGATGTGTCACTTTGATGCTACGGTGATACTGCCCTCGGACTCAAACCCATCCACTCGAGGGAGATGGATTCGAGCCCTATGTGAACACACCGACATTGACAGGGGATTTAGCCTACACAGTCTGTCAAGCCGTGGTACTGGGGAATCCAAGCGTCATTTCACGGGGGAGATCCCGGACCGGGGGAACCGGGCTAGCCCATTCATGGGCCACACCACTTAGTGATATTACAACGAGGCCAAAGGAATAATTGCCGTGTGGTTGCACCCACGCTTTGCTGCCGACAATTTTGCCCAGGCGTCACCGGGGCCGAACATCTCGGCGGCCAAAAGCAGGGTGCCGAGAGTTGTGGGAGTTGGGTAGATCCAGTACGTACTGCTGAAACAGCACCCCCAAAAGACTATACCGGCGCGATATTATTGACAAGGGCTCTACAATAGAGTTTATCACCACCAGATATATATCACGGCTGACAATTCCGTCGCTTTCGTCCGGTAGACAGATTTCTTTAACTCGGAGCTATCGGCCTCTTTTCGACATTCATCCGTTGCGGCCATACGTTGTGCAAATCATTCATCACCGTTAGTCTCGAGATTGTCCACTGGATGGCAACCTTTTCTGCAACACACGACAAAATATCAAGCACCATGGAGCAGCCATATTTGCAGTACGGTCCCAGCCATAACAGCCACAACGAGCTGAGCACCTACCCCGAAGCTGAGCCGCGAAGTATGGACTGCTCATACACTATGGGGCCTTCTTCTACCTACACCGGAGAATGGTTTCAGCCCACGTTGCATCCAGATTCCGTCGCCTCCATCTATCAGCCTTTGCCATATCTAGGCACGACCTCCGGCGCCATGTCACACTACGATCCCAACCATCTGGTCGAGGCCAGCAACACGCATATTCTCGCGCACTCAACACCACCAATGATGCAAGCAGCGGTGGCGTCGCCCAGCTGGGAGCTTTTGAGCTCCAGCGAGGGCTCTCAGAGCCCGGGAGAGGAACGCGAGGAGGAGGTCTGGGAGCCGGAAGACCTTCGTCGGATGGGTTATCTCGACGCCAGCGGCAACTGGCGCTGCAAGTTTGAGGGGTGTCGATCCTCACGCGTATTCATGCGTGCGTGCGACCTGAGGAAACACTTTCGTGGACACGACAAGTACTTCTTCTGCACGGAGAAGCCTTGTGCGAATGCCGGTGTGGGATTTGCGACTCGAAAAGACTATCAGCGACATATGGGCTCCCACAGGCCGACGATCAAGTGTCCCCATCAAGATTGTGGGAGAATTTTCAGTCGAAAAGACAATATGGTACGTTGTGCCCGCATTTACTTCGCGTTACATATTCAGTTTACGAAAGTAAACTTTGTTTAAAAACTTGGGCTAACACGACTTGCAGAGAGAACACTTCAAGAAAATTCACTTGCGACTGCGAAACAATTTGTTTCCTCGACCTTGCCGCCGGCCTCGTCGTGGTGAACGTTCAAAATCCCCTGTCCTGAAAGTCGAGACTGAGTAGCTTTGGATTTCATTCAGGTGGCGTCGAGAATTACCATTGTATGAGACACTTGGAACTTAATTACCAGCAGGCCGCATGGTGTTTGGAGAATAAGGGTATAGCTAGTTGCTAAGTCGGTTTCGTGGTCTATCTTGGGGGCTGAGCACTGAGTTGCGGAAACAAATCATATGAATAGAAAGATCTAAAATAAAAGCGTTTGATTGACAGATTCATGCGACCATTGAGATTGTACCGTACAGCCCTGCGGGAAAGTCCTTGCGCCAAGGCGTCAGCCCTCGCCCCCTATCCGTCCCCCTCTGTTTTAGTTCAACCCAAGGTAGGGAGGCCATCACCTCATCCCGTAGACTCAACTTGCGATCATGTCTCTTTGATAACCCCTCGCCTAGTTTACGCCCAAGAATTGCAAAATACCAGAATCGTCAACGATGCGAGGCATAAGTTGCGCGCTCCAGGACTCGGACCTTCTGGGCCTGGAAGGCCTGGTCTGATGATTGGCAGCAACTTGTTTACCACGAAATGCCAGAATCGGAAATGTCGAAACATTAGGTAAGAGCTGATTAACTTTCCATTGGTCTCAATTCCGTCCGAAGTCAATTTCTGGTCCGTATCAAATGCCCACCCTTCTTTTGGTTCCGCTCGAAATCTCCGACTTGTTTGACATTGTCGGCGATAATTACGCTAGCATTGTTAGCAAGGTGGCTGGGGAGGCAAAGGGTAATAATCCGCCGGGTAACGTCTAATCCGAATAGAGCTTTTGTTTTCTTCCAAAAAGGCTTCTAGACCCTTTCTCCGGCTTAAGTTTCCGGCGGGTCGATTCGGCGACGTGCCGATGAAGCTTTGTCGTATGCTGGAACTGTATTGGGGGTGCTTCTTTGTAGGCAATTGAATCCGCCGCTTCGACCTCGCCGTGACGATGATCTTACAATGCCGAAGGTAATTCTAAACAGTTCATATAATTCTTTATGGAGAGTTGTCTTCCACTGAAAGTAAAGCACATACGCTGCCCAGAAAAGACTCTAACTCTCGGCCCAAAAGACTTCCACATTACACACATGGACCCAAGAAGTTGACATTTCCATCCTACAAACCTCGTCGATCAATCTTCTGAAACTATCGCCAAGTGACAGCTATGAACATTCCATTGCCGAATCTCCTGTAGGGAGAGCAACGACATACTCCAAGCCAAGCTTCACAGCCTTGCCAGCATTGAGCTTCACCTGCCACTCCACTTGGCCTTGGCGCCCCTTCAACGTTGCCGTCGCCTGGCCCCAGTCAATATCCTGCTTACTCTCGCGAGCGGGCTGCCCGGTGGAGGCTCCTGAACCGTCGACAACAAGCCCCTTGGGTGCCAAGACATCCACCCTGAGGCGCTCGTCTTCCGACACGGGAACCTGGTCCAGCACAAGAAGCGAGACGGGTTTACCCGCCGAAGCACGGGAGTTGAAAATGGTGATGCTGCGGCTGTACACGGAGCTGTTCTCCTTGGAAAAGAGCCCTGTCGTCGTTCGTCGGACGTCAACTTTGGGGTAGTTGACCTTGATCGCCGGGTCGATGCCGAGACCCAGGGAAAAGACATCACCGGCGCTACAGCGCGGCAAGTGGGTGCGGCCCATGAAGGTACCGTCGAGAGTGAGACCTGCTTCGGCCCGGAGCAATGTCAGGCGGCTGCTATTGCGGATTCGCGATTTGAGGTAGGCGACAGGTTTGTACTTCGCAATGATGGTATGGCTGAAGGCGACGTTGGAGAAGCTGATACGAGCGACTCGCTGCTTGGATGCCGTTGGACGAGGCGGCAACGTCTTTGTACCTGGAAGGTCGTAGGTTGTAGTGAATCCCGTCTCTTCGATAGTAGATTCTTGGAAATCGAGGTCTTCGTCTTCCTCGGATACTTCGGATCCCATGAACTCTTGAGTTGTCCTCTGAGGTCTCCATTGATGAGGCGAAGGAGCTGATCCACTTTGGTGCATTCGCTGCATTTGTGGCATTTGCTGCATCTGCTGCATCTGTTGCACCTGCATCTGTTGCGCCTGCATTTGCGCCTGTATCTGATCCTGGTGCTGTGACTGTCCTTGCCCTTGTGCTGGATACATCATTCGTCGATGCTTTGAATCTTGGTTAAGTACCATCAGGCCCTTCTGGTAATCCGCGAGATTCGTGGCGCTGTTGTTGACATTATTGCAGTCCACGCCGAACAAATCATTGCGAGGCTTTTGGGGCTGTGCTTTCGTCTGTTGAGCACGCCACCATTCACTTCGTTGCTGGCGTTCCTCCCTACTGGAAAGGATGTCCGTCCCGTTTGCGTTGCCTTCTTTTGGTGCCAACTTGATGTTCCAAGGCTTGAGCGTGGGTATGGCGTTCTCGAGCCCGGCAAATGTGGCTTGAGAAGTCGAAAGGATAACTTTGCAGTTGCTCCACGTCTCGGAAGTTTTGTTGGTGATGCGGGCGTCGTAGCACAGTGTGCCCGTGTTGTTTGTGGTAAACAATTGCAAGTCATAGCTTGGAGCCCAGAATGCGGAAGATGTCACATATGACAGTGATAAGTCGCACTTGATGTCTCTTCCCTCGTCGGTCTTCTCAGGAGCTGGCGTCCAGGCCTGGGCTGTCTCACTCGACACCGATGTACGACGAGAGGATGATGGGGTGAAAGCCATTACCTCGAGAGACACCCGGACAGAGTAACATAACTTGGGCCAAAAGCGCTCCCGCTCCGCCCGAATCCGAGCTTTCTCCTTCTTCAACTTCGCTCTCTCCCTAGCATCCTTTTGCGCCTGTCTGTCCCGCTCCTTCCGGGCTTTCTTCATTGCACGAGTCGCGTCTGCCTCCTCTCTCTTTTCTCTCTTCACAAGCCGAGTTTCTTGCTTGAGAGCGATGCTGAGGCGCTTCATGTTGTCCTGTCCGCGGGTGACTCCGGCCACGTGGTCTTGGAAGATTCGTTCTCGCTCGGCTCGGTAAGTTTCGATGCTGTCAGCGATGTTGACGCCTTCTTTGCTCTCGAGTGAAGCTCCGTGAGCATCGAGGATCTTGAGACGATTGGCTGCGCTTTCGACTACTTCTTTGGCGCTGCGTTCCTCGTCTCTCAGCTGTCTTATCCGGGCTCGCACTTTGTCGAGGGGCGACGGTTCTTTCTCCTCCGATTCTTCTTCATCTTCTCCGTCTTCTTCGTGAGGGACATCGGCATCCGACATTTCGTCATCAGAGTCAGGATAGACATCTTGAAAGCTCTCGCGGTTGGGAATAAGCTCAATGGCGATGTCGGTGATGATGGCTGAGCCGGCCCCGTCTACCTTGATTGTAGACTCATCAATTGTGGGTGTAAGACCGAATATGGTGATTTCGTTAGCGCCGGGCTAGTTCTTCGTTAGTTGTGGGACGAGACACCGCAGGGGACACAGGTATCCTCACCTTCAGTTGTAGGTTGCGCAAGTCCCTCACGACTTGGGCACTGTTGGGATAGAGTGTGACGGATCGGGTGGCCAAATCTCGTACATGGTACTCCTTGTTGTGAGTAATGTCTGACATTTTGGATGACTTTCGTGGTCTCGCTGATATGAGTGTATTGGCAAGTTGGCTGTAGTGGGGAAACTACGAGACCTGAACGAGTGTAACAATTGGTGAGATTCAACTAGAAGAGGGGGGAAAACGAGAAGAGAGTAGATGAGAAGAAATTGAGTTGAATTGATGCCAGTTAGCAGGACAGAATTTCGGAGGGCATTCGTATGATACTTATAGTTGTGGTGGGAGGCGGAAACGAGGCAATGCAAACCAGCGGCCAAGAATAGGGTGGCCGCATCCTGTTGCCTGATGAGCTAGACAACTGCTGCGGAATTCCATCGTCTCCCCCGCTCAAACTTTCATCCGAGAACTAGGGAGCCAATAAGTGCCAGAAATCGATTTAATACGCCTACATAACCATTTCGATCTGGATTGAAGTTTGAAAGACTCAGGAACTTTGATGCCTGTGATAGGGATGTGTTTCCCGATTGACGAAGTGCCCCCAGGGAAAAAATGAGTCGCTACACATGATGAAGGTGCATCAAATGCGGTAGAAATAGGCTGCCATATTTAAAACTAGGATGGTGACTGACCAGTCTACCCTAGTGATACAACTTTTTGACCTTCTCGTTCATGAAAAACCCCAGTTGGTCGGCGTCTTTTGGCACATGCTTCGGGTGTAGCATCTCTGGGTCAAGTACTTAGCTCAGCCAATTAGCCTCTTCCTTTACTTCTGCGGACCAGCGTCGAGTCTTCGTCGCTCGTCTCTAGCAATCCGTCCACGTTGAGTAAAATAACATGTAGGCAAGACGGATCATCCATCAAAATGCCAGCGGTTTGACTATCTCAACTGCGATCCAGATATGAAGGTGACAAAGGACAGATTAGCACACAGGTTGACGCGAGTTCGCGGCTGTTGCTCTGCGACACTACCATTGCTTTCATGTCTTAATGACAACTTAGCAGTGCGAGCTTACGCGAACATTAACCTCAATTCATAGGCCTGCGGCATAGCGCGAGGTTTCTTTTTCATTATTAGCCTACTGAAGTCGGTCGTGACGACTAGATACGTCTAAGTCTTCTCTTCTTCTTTTCCAAACTGGACAAACCACAATCAGCGAGACCGTACTCCAGGCCATCAACTAGATCCACCCAGGATATCATGATTTTTACTCCATTCCCACTCCAGGGAAGTTACGCGACGATGCTTTAGAGAAGCATTGCCATCCCAGCCACAAGACTAACTGCCACTGCCATAGCAGCAGCGCATCCAGCCCCTATTCTACCAGCGTCAGCCATGACGTTTCCGCTGGACGTCAAAAACGGCTTCTCTGCGACGACGCGGATGTTATCGACGAGCCGATCTTTATCAGGCGTGTATGTCGATTCCACAAAGTTGCACTCCTTCATGATGAAGTCCAGGTCTATTTCCCGTTAGTCCGCGTTTCGAAACCAACCAAGCCCCCTCTTTTAATGGTAAGGAGTAGTAGAAGAATATTGCACTCACTGTTTGCCCGGTTTCCAGTCTTCCGGATACAACTCTGACAAAGTCCAGCCAGCAACTGCACGTCGAAGCTCTTATTCGAACAAGTACACTGCTTCTCGGCTTCTTCACGGTCGTTAGGCGACTTGTTATCCGGTTGCTTCTCCGAGCCCGGTCCCATGATGGGTATCGCAGCCGGGTTGCTCATAGACGCCTGAGGAGGTTGAAGCTGCTGTGGTGGTGTCGGCTGGAGCATCAGGGGTGTGGTTTGCTGAGATGATGAAGGAGCGGGTTGCTCTTGCGGTGGCGGTGGCGGACGCTGAGGCTGCTGCTGTGGCGGCGGTTGTTGGGCTGGAGGTTGCTGAGGCGCGAGCCTTGACGTCGATGATGGTGGAGGAGGTGGTGGCGGTTGTTGAGGCCTCGGGGCTGTGATCACCGGAGGCGGCTGAACCGGAGGCGGTGCTTGGATCGGGGCCGGAGCTTGCACCGGAGGTGGGGCCTGGACGGGCGGGGGAGCCTGTACCGGTGGAGGCGGCGGTGGCGGCGCCAGAGTGGGTATCGTCGGCGCCGACACAGTCAGGAACACAGTCGATGTGATCAAGACAGGCACAGGCGGCGGTACCTGTGGCGGAGGATCTATTGATGGCGTCGCCTGTGGTGGAGGAGGAGGCGGTGCCGAGGGTGTAGGTGTGTTCTGGGCATCCGGCGTACTCGTGCTCAACGGAATCTCCGGTGCGGGGGCAGAAAAGGGCAGCGTGGCAATGAAGCCGGGTGTGGCATCCACGGCCGGCTGCTGTGCGTCTTGGGCAGGTTGTTGCGCATCTTGAGGAGGCTGTTGTGCAACATTTGTAGCTTGAGGCTCGTCTAGGCCGGGTGTCGATGCCTCGACCGCGTCGTTTTGGTTTGGTCTGCGGTGGTGGTGGCGGCGAACGACTCCGTGTGCGCCTGCTGGTGATGGTCTCTTTGCCTTTCGTCTTTCTGGCGGCGGTTTGTATTGCGGTGCGTCGACTTTCCTCCTCTTCAGTCTCTTGAGCTCGTCGAAGGTATTGTCAACGTCGCATTTGAAAGTAAGCTCGACGATGGGCCCGCATATTGTTGCGCATTCGACGGGGACGTCGTCGACCTGGACTTCTCTGGCGCCCGCTAGCACCGCGAGGCCCGAGAAGACCAGAACTGATGCCTCTTTTCCTCTCATCCTGTCCGGTTCTAACTATTCTCGGCAAAGCACGAATTGAAAACTCTCAAGGTCGGTGAAAAGGTATCGAAGGACGCATAGGAGAATCAACTCCTTTCGCTCGCTGGTCGCAAAATTATGGCAAAGTCACGATACAAGCACACACAAATCAATAGAAAGAAGATCAGCCGCACATCATCCAAAGGAGAAATAGGTACTCCAAGCCCCAACACCTATATCAGACAGTCACATCTCTCCCTACACACCGTCTCTCACACACCAGATCCTCAGACTCAGGACGCAGCCGCTTCCCGCACACAGCAGACATGGCTGAAACGGCAGCTCAAGCTTCAGAAGGGAAAGGGAAAAAAGGTTGGACGGAAGGAAAACTAAACACTCCCAGTGCTTACTACCCCGGACCTGACGAAATTGGCCACCCGGCGCGCCTATCAAGCTTCAAGACGGTGCAGAATACTCTAAAAGAAAGTTGTGGACCAGGAGGGGGGGCAAGATGAGGCACAAGGGGCACAAGGGGTAGTATGCGTGGGAGATTGTGAGCTGGTGAGGAACGCAAGACGGCTTCATACCCAAACTGGCAAAATCTGGGTTCGAACGACTCGTCTTACATGTCTCGGAAACAAAACCATCGCATGGGGAGAGGCTAGGAAGAGGGGAACAAGGGGAAGCACAATCCCTACCCACATCCTCTCTTCCTCTATCCACGGATCTTCACTAACCCCAGTGCCCAAGTCCTGGACTCCTGACTGAGACTCGAGACTCGTGCGCGCTGGATGGGAAGAGTGCAACGTGAAACGCGAACAGACCGCGCCGACTCGCCAATCGCAATGCATCACGATGGCCGCGGACATGGTCCATCCTCTCAATGCTTCCCATGGAATGGGGACGCTGGCGATCAGAAACAGTCCACTATGGTAGAATCAGGAAAGTCGGTTGATGCACGTAGCAGCTGGTATCTGAGGCTCTGCGTTGATGACGAGCCTATTGATGTTTATTTTACTAGTGCCCCGCAAGGTTTTGAAACACTCCTCGCTTGCTTGAATTTGTGGTCAAAATGATGTAGACGATAATCGTAAAAGTAGATGATGAGCAGTGAGAGAAATCAGTCAGTGGGAAGATGAGAAAGCAGTGAATCTGGCATGTAGCGCAGCTGATGGTGAGCATTCCGAGTCTAGAACCCGCAATCTCCCTCCTGCACGCTCCTCAGACGAACTCGCGAGCCGGATGTGAGGAGTTCCTTTTGGATGCTAAGAAAGAAATATCTCCTGTTTTCAACTCGAAACGGTAACTTGAGGATGGGACGAAAAGAAGAGCACACGTATCGGATGCGCATTGAGGTAAGTGAAGTAAGCTTCTAGGACACAGCTGCTGGTGCTTGCGGACTTTATTCCGTTCATGTCGGCACTAGTTCTGCCTTTTTCATTTGAGTCAGTCTCTAAATAGCTATCGCTAGCTTAGAGGATGGGTTCCTAAATCGTGATTATCGAGCTGTTAATACTCGTGCGAACTGGGCTCATGGTCTATTACGATAGCTTCTGTTGACGGTGGCTTTCTTTACAACCCTCAACTGTCTCGTAGAATATTAGGTAAGATATAGTCTATACTTCTTCCACAAGTCCCCATAAGAAGAGCAAAGCTCAACTCCTCCCCCGTCTCCCAACACTCTCAACTCGAACCCCCAGCTTGGCCATCTCATCAGCATCAATCACCCCTCTCCCATCAAACACCCACCTCGGAACCTGCATATCGCCCGCCACCCTCTCCCAGTCAACCCTCTCCTTGGCCGTCTGCCCCTCTTCCGCCCCCGGTCCATGACTGGTAAGTCCCGAGACCTTGCAGTCCTCCTCCTCCGCCCGACAATCCGGGCAATCTCCCGAACAAGCAGGCTCAGCAACGTATCGCCCGAGTGGATCATCCAAAGTCGCCGCGCCCATCTCCCCCTTGCCCAGCGCTGGTCTCACACCCGACTGCCGAAGCTCTTGGCCCGCCCCCTCCGCCGCCCGCGATGTCGTGCTTCCGCGGGGAGAAGAAGGATCAGAAGGTGCAGAACCCGGCGTATCCCTGACGCCGAGCTCACCCGTGTTCCGAAACTCGTCAAACTCGGTGGTGATGAGAACCGCGTTACTACCACGACAAGCGTCGTACGCGTTCCCGTACACAACCAAGGGTCCAGGGCCACCGCCGTCGTCCTTTGACGTTGTCGTCTGTGGGCCACAGAACTGCTGGATCTCCGCTTGAATCACGAGAGGATTACAGCACGGATCAAACACCGCAATCTCCCGTGGTCCCTCCTCCGACAGCGCCCGAATAATCTCCAGCGCAGGTGACTCCCTCGTATCCGACGTATTTTTC